ACCCAGTGGCCAGCCTCTCGGACCTTGCTGGGACAGGATTACCTCCCCGCTCTTCTCCACCACCAGCTTTGTGCGCTTCTCCTTCTTCCCGTGGCTTTGGGGCAGTCAAAGGCATTGGACGAGGGGTGCAGGCAGTGCTGCCCAGCCCCATGGCCCCGTCTCACTCAGCCCTGCCGGCTGGTTAGACTGGCTGCCGGGGAGTCCTGGGAGAGGCAGGCAGGTCTGGGCGGACCTGGCCTCCATCTCGGAGCTCCTTCTTGTCTCGAGACAGGGTGCCCAGCAGGCTGGGGCACACAGGCAGACCCTGGTGCTGTGTGCTGACCCTGACCGCCCTGGGCTTGCCTGCCTCTCTCCCCAGGAACCTCTCGCCCTTCACCCCTACTGTCTCCCGCAAGACTGGCTCCAGGGTCAGTAGGATGTTCTCAATGTCCCACAAATCCCCACCACCCAAGGTGCCTCAGCCCAACCGCCTGGACGAGGTGTATGAAGCTCTCAAAAAGGGCCTGACGTAAGTGCTGGGGCTCCCCATGGCTGGGTGGTTGGAGGCAGGGAGCCCCTGAGCAGCAGGGGACAGCTTGCCACGTGGGTTGGGGGTGACAGCTCTCTGCTTTCAGCAAGCAGGGATGTGCCAGGTCTCCTGGGCACAGTGCCTTGGGGTCCCCGAGTTGTGTGGGGTCCCACACCCCACTAGGTCCCACCCAGAGGCACACATGGGCTCTCTTGCCTGGGTGCCTGAGCAGGGAGTGGGGATATGGGGCCAGATGTGCTGGGTTGGTGTGGGCTGTGGGTGGCAGGAGCTCTGGACATGGGTGTCCCAGCCTGACCACCATGGTGTGGTTGCCCCCAGAGCCTACCTGGAGGTGCACCAGCTGGAACTGGAGAAGCTCAGCACCCAGATCCGCGAGTCCAAGAGGAATTCGCGCCTGGTGAGTGTCGCTTGGGAAGACCCTTACGGGGAGCAGTGCTTTGGGCAGACGGACGGGGCTGTGGGCACAGCTGGGGCAGCTCGTGGTCCCTCTGTGTCTCAGGGCAGAGCCTGCTTCTGTGGGGACGTCAGGGGCCAGCCTGGGCTCTGGTGTTGGGCTGCACAGGGTTCCTGTCCTACTGTCATGCACTCTCCAGCCCTGGCTGGGTGCCACATGTCCCCGCTGACATGCTATGGGTGGTGGGTGCCATGTGCTGGGTCTCCTTGGGTGGGCAGAGGTGGCTTTGTGCTGCGTCTTATCCCTCTCCTCTCTCCTCCAGGGCTTTCTCTACGATCTGGATAAGGTAAGCGGGATCAGTGCCCTGTCCCCCTTGCCTCCCCATTCCTAGTGCCTAGGATGTGGTACTGCCAGCCCCTCTCCGCTTGCGCTGCCTGTCCCTCGTCCTCTACACGGCAGAGTGCCTGTGGGGTGGGATAGGGGCTCTGCAGGCAGGGTGGGTCTGGGCAGGGGATGAAGCAGAGACAGGCAGGGGCTTGTAACCTGCCTCTTGCAAACAAAAGCTGTTGTTGGCGAGTGCTGAGCCTGGGTTAGCTCTGAGGCTGGGAGAAGAGCACCCTGGAGCCTGGCTTGTCTCCTGGGGCACCCTCCAGAGCAGGAGAGGCTGGAGGATGCTGCAGCACGTGGGTGCAAGCGCAGCCTCTGCTCCACTCACTGCTGGCTGCCAACCTCCACCCGCCAGGCAGGGCTGGTGACCAGGACCTGTCCCAGCTGCAGCACGGGCACACAGCAGGGCCCATCCTGACCTGCGGCTCCTCTGCGGAGGGGTTGGGCTGCCGCTCATGCTGTCTCCTCTGCTTTTGCAGCAAGTGAAGTCAATCGAGCGCTTCCTGCGTCGCCTGGAGTTTCATGCTAGCAAGGTGAGAGCTGGGGACGGGGGTCACCTTGGGGCAACCTTGGTGCAGCGCTGGGATGGCTGTGCTGTCCTCTGCCCTGCCCCTCACCGCACCTCGGGCCCGTTCTTGCAGATAGATGAGCTCTACGAGGCTTATTGCATCCAGCGGCGGCTCCGCGATGGAGCCCCCAACATGGTCAAGGCTTACAGCACAGGCTCCCCGGGCAGGCGGGAGGACCACGAGAGCCTGGCCGAGGCCAGCAAGGGCTACAAGGAGTACACAGAGGTGAGGCAGCTGGCTGGGGTGGGCTGGCAGGGTGCTGGGTCCCACGGGTGGCTGCTGATGGGTGCTGTCCGTCCGTCTGTCCCCAGAACATGTGTCTGTTGGAGAACGAGCTGGAGAGCCAGCTGGGCGAGTTCCACATCCGGATGAAAGGTAACGCGTCCCGCTCCATCCCTGGCCTGCTGCCTGCCTGCCTGCTGCCTGCTGATGCCCCTCTGCCTTCTCTTGCAGGACTGGCAGGCTTTGCCCGGCTTTGTGCTGGTGACCAGTATGAGGTTGGTGGGACCATATGAGCTGGGATCTGCTCTTCTCCCGCCCTGTGGTCCTTGGGGTGCCTGGGGGGCGTAGGTGGGCGCTGGCGTGAAGGGCACATTGCAAGGCGGTGGTGGGTGGCATGGCTCCCTGGCCATGCCTGGGGACACAGAGAGAGCACCCACCGCCCCGGTGTTGTATCTCCCCCATACCCACGCCTCTGTATCCCTAGATCTTCATGAAGTACGGACGGCAGCGGTGGAAGCTGCGGGGGCGCATCGAGGTGAACAGCAAGCAGGTGTGGGACAGCGAGGAAATGGTTTTCTTGCCCCTCGTCACTGAGTTCCTCTCCATCAAGGTACAGTGCAGAAGGGGGCAGGGATGGTGTGGGCCAGCTACTGCCCGGTGTCCTGGCAGGGCTTCCTTCCAGGACCTCACCTAAACCTCACCCTCACTGGGGTGGGAGGAGGATGTCTGGCGGTGGTGGCATCCTGGATGGATGTGTGGATGCAAACAGCATGGATAAGATGAAGCCCATGGCTTCATCTCCTCCTCTCCTTCTCCAGGTGACAGAGCTAAAGAGCCTGGCCAACCATGTTGTGGTGGGCAATGTGTCCTGCGAGACCAAGGACCTCTTTGCGGCTCTGCCCCAGGTAGTGGCTGTGGATATCAACGACTTAGGCACTCTCAAACTCAGCCTGGAGGTGACCTGGAAGTGAGTATCTCAGCAGGCATTGCTGGTATCACATGGCAGGGCTGCGGACGCCCGGCCTGGCGTGGCAAGAGGTGGCCTGCCCCAGGCTCTCTCCCATCTCAAAAGCAGGCTGCAATTGTGGAAAACCAGAGCTGGACTGGATGGGGTCCTGCTTGCCGCAGAGCAGGGTCAAGACCCCGCCAGGCTGCCACACAGCCCTCACCTCCCTGCTCTCCTCCCCAGCCCCTTCGACAAGGACGACCAGCCCTCGGCAGCCAGCACCGTCAACAAGGCCTCCACGGTGAACAAGAGGTTCTCCACCTACAACCAGAGCCCGCCCGACACACCGTCCCTGCGGGAACAGGCATTCTATGTAAGTGTGGCGCCGGGC